ATTCTGTCATTCTGTATTAAGAGTAGTTGACAATAAGGTGACGTCTTTTTTGTCTTTCCATATCATAACAGACTTCCTCTCTGATATGCTAACATTTCTCCCCTTTTCAGAAAAAATTTTTCTTTTGCAGATCTTTTGGCACTTCCTTCCTATTCAGTCTCAGTGTCCATTTTGTATTGCAAAAAAATCACTGCAGTCTGGAAAAGTATAAAAATTATATCTAATGTACTTACGATAAGAGTTTATAGACTGTAGCATAAAATTATAGGTTCTTTTTCACAAATAAACATGAATTAATAAAAGAAAATAACTAGAACTTATTATTAGATTTCACTAAAAACATCAAAGGTGAACACAATGTTCTAAATTTAAAAGTATGCAAAAATATTCGATACAAAGCAAACAGACATACGAGTGCATTTTGTACAAGCAAGAATCGACTAGTTGAAATGATACCTCCAGATAGTAGGCAAACAAAGGTACTATTAAGTGGTTAAACTATTTAGTGGTTAAAGGTATTTTTTGAACAGAAAAATAAAATAAATTATTTCATGCTCTCACTTTTTTGTGCATAGAAACACAATGTATATAAAAGCAGAAATCCCTCTGCCATCCTAAAAGATAAATGCTGCTCATTTGGTGTCTATCCTTCCAGCTGTTGGGATGGACAGACAGACAGGTGGTAGAGATTCTGTGAGGACTGAAAGGCTTCTTTACTCTGCTCTCCCCCAGGAGCTAGAGGTTCTTCGTGGTAATGACAAGCATCCTTCAGTCCTGTCACTGTATCCTAGGCCTGTACTTAACTGCCTCACTTGCCCTAAAAATCAGAGTCGAAACTTTAGGCCCTTGGCAAATGTCCCGCCTGGCCTCCTGCCTCCTCACCCACACCCAGCCTGCAGCGCCCCCCATCAGCCAATCTGGGAGCTTCTGGTCATCCTCAAGTGTTACCCCTGACTGGGACCACAGCCTACTGCTGCCACTACATTCCTCAGCTGGGGACTCCCTCCCTTCAAGGGTCTTGGGTGAGGGACAGCAGCCTTGCTAGGGATACAGCCCGCAGCACAGGTTTTCAGATGATGAGGAAGTCACTGTGCAGGGAGCCCCCAAGGGTGCAGGTGAGTGGGCAGGAAATGTCAGCTGCTCATCACCATAAGAGCTGATGATGAGTGATGGCTACACACGGGAAGGAACATAAAGATGTTTTGGCTCCAAATGATCATCAGTATTTAAGCCTGAAAGTGTGCGTTGTGTACCTGAGTTCTCTCTTGTGTGCTTTTTGAACAAGGCTGGGGCTCTGGAGCAGGGGGAGGGTTAGATGGCATCTCCAAATGACACAGATCTGGAAGGATGTTAGACCAGCTGCTAGGCTCAGCCCTGAAGGAACTGCCTTTTGACACACAGTTGGTATAAGGACCTTTATTGTGACAGGGTCTTGCTATGTAGTTCAGCCTGGCCTCAAACTCTTGGCAGTCCTCCTGCCTCAGCCTCCCAAGTGCTAGGATTATAAGTGTGTGCCACCACTCCCAGCTAAGGACCTATTTAAGATGAGACGAGTCTTGGAGATGATCAAGGCCAGCCAGAGGCAGGTGGGCCTCTGAGAAAGAGTAACTTTGATGCCTATCCCACTTTTCAGCCTGCCTAATCCTCCAAATGGTCCCTTAGCATTGGCATCCCTCTTTCCACTTCTCCCTCAACCAAGATAAACTGCCTAGCTAGTCTACTGGGCACTCAACCCTCAGGGCCAGCTACCTCTGGGGAAAGCCATGCTGATAAGTAAGTGTCTTCCCACAGCTGTGGAGAGCTGATGTGGGCTCCTGGCGGTTCTGCACTCTTACACCTGCCTCACTTCAATACATTCGAATGGCTTGGAATTCTAACTATGAATTCTCAGTTCTGTGCCTGTCTTTCCTTCCTGGAGACACTACGCATTCCAACTCTGCAGGTAACCAGCTTTTTAGTTACACGGGTATCTTTGTAGAGTTTCTTTATACTGTTTTTTTTTTTCTTAGATAAGGTCTTGCCAGTTTTCCTAGGCTGACTTTGAACTCTTAATCATCCTGCCTCAGCCTCTCAGGTGGCTGGGCTCAAGTGTGCGCCACTGCACTGGACTTCTTATACTTCTTTTTTTCCAGTAGTGGAGATTAAACCCAGGACCTCGTGCATGCTAAGCAAGTGCTCTACCACTGAGCTGCGTCCTCAGTCTTCTTTTTTTCTTTTTTTTTTAGACAAGACCTTGCTAAATTTCTGAGGCTGGCCTTAAACTTGTGATCCTCCTGCCTCAGCCTCCAGAGTAGCTGGAATTACAGGAATGGGCCACCACACTCAGCTCCTTTGTACTCTCGTAAGCAAAATAGTCTGTCAAGCTGACACAGATAATTCTTAAGAGTTCTCAGAACCATAAGCCAAAAGACTCTTGCTAACAGAACTTCAGGTTACTCTGAAAATTCCAGTAAGTCTTTCCCAGGGCCTCTTGTCAAAAGTGGCTCCCTTCTTGTAGTTGAGATTCTTTGTTCTAAAGAGAATTGGAGCCTGGAGTGGTGATGCATGTGCCTATAATCCCAGCACTCTGGAGGCTGAGGCAGGAAGATCACTACGCGTGCAAGGCCAACCTGGGCTACATAGGTTCAAGGCCAGCCTGAACTACATGGTGAGACCTTGTCTCACAAAAACAAAAAAAGAAAGAAAATTAGTTCCAATAGGACTCTAATAAGATCATCACCCAGAAAGAAAAAAAGCCTACTGTCCCATTTCCAAGTCTGAAAGGGAGAAAGGAAGGTGGAGTTGGAGAAGGTTTGAGATCCCTCTCTTCATTTGCTCCTTCACTTGTTGAACATTACTATCCGCAGACACTTCATGGCCAAAAGGAGGCAGCCTAGGTCACAGCTATTACTGAAATGATTACATTGCAACTGGCAACAAATTCAAGCCAAACAGGTCTGTGTTTAAAAAAGGGCTTGCTTGGCCCCTGTGGTGGAAATCTGCACGGACAGGTTTGGTTTTAGGTACAGTTTGCCTCAGAGCTTAGATGATGTCACTAACCACCTCCTGGCCTTATGCTCTGGGCTGCTTCAGTTCTTCAGGCCACATCGTAACCCCTTAGACTGCATTTGAAGATGTCCACGGGGGGTTCTCCCAAAGAGGAGATGGAGACCTCAACTTGCACCCCACCCTCTATGGTGGAGTAGGCTTGTGGACTTTCACGACAGAAAATCATTTCGGGCTGCATGAGAGTCATCGGCAGATACATTGAGCAGAATGAAAGAAGTAGATGCTCAGAAAGAGTGCGGGCACCAAGGAGCAAGGTGGGGTATGGTCTGTGGCTAGGGCCATTTATGGGGTCTTGGGTTATCCTCAAGGCAATGATCTATGATGTTTGTTCCTAGTGTCTTTCAGGTTTCTCATTAGTGGATTAGAATGCAAACCATTTGCATGTGTTTGAAGTTTGACGATAGTGCTATTATCTTGAGGAGAAGTCTGTGGAATTTTCAAATCTATTGTCTCAAAAGAAAAACAATTTATGGGCTTACTATATCTTTAAGACTCAAGAATTAGGAGTGGAATTAGGATCAGCAGAACCAGGACCACAGGCCTGAGCTGGCTCAGGGCTCATCCCGACTCCCACTGAGACCCCCTGGGGGATGTTTCATAACATCTTTGGGGGAAGAGGGGACTCATCTTCATCAGTGTCATCAGTGGGGAAGGCAACACAAGAGAGGGTCAAACTGCATTACTGCCTCCTCCTTTCTCTTAGGTTCTGGGCAGAATTGTCTCTGTACTTCCCCTCCATGGCTTCTGATCTTTCTGACTTATATTTAAACCATCCAGTCTGCACGTGTGTTTTAAATTAAAAGTTGCCTCCATTCTTTTCTGGAATTAGATCAATAAGTGGAAGAAGATTATAAAAACATTCTCTAATCCCACAGAATCACCATAAATACAACCTAATTTGCTGTAGATCATCTCCGGTCCTCAGATGTCTTAAAGCATTTATTTCCTTTATCTTCTGCCTGTTCTGTCAAAGTGGAATTGCAGCCACCGCTGGTGGCCAGGAAGCTTTCTGTCGAATCCGTTGCTCATTAGCTCACAACGTAGTTCTCCCGACAGTGCAGCAAGTGCAGGACAGCTGCAGGCGCACATCTGTGTTCTGCTCTCACCAATCATCCCAATCATGCAAGAAGACCAAAGAGGAGGATAAAACCTCACAGGGGCCCAACGGCCTCCTGAATGTGGTTCACACAGCATTTTCTCATTTGTCAGCTAGAAAATTAACTCCTCCTCGGGATCTGCTCAGAATCCAACCTGAGCCGTCAGCCACTCCAGGCCCCAGCTACAACCCAAGACTCAGTGCATAGCTCCTCCTTCATTTTTACCCAAGTTAGTAAATGTTAACTTTCTATTTCTTGACATTAGAACTGTGAAGCCAGCACTGTCCTTCTTGCTGCTGTGGCTGCAGGGAGGCCATGCCCGCCGATGCAAGGCTTGTGTGGGAGCCACACGACAGGACAGCTGCCTTGTTCCTCAGCATCCCATGGCCTTTTCCTCTGTCCTCCAGGGTCTCCAGCACGTGTGGAATGGCCACCGTTGAAGCAGAACTTACTCTTACTGTCCAGCTTACCCGGTTTCTGAGAATGAGAGGGCTGAACAAGCCTCCCTCACCCACCCTGCCCACCTCTGGGGTGAGCAGGGATGAGCAGGTAGAATGGAAGAGGGTGGCGCTGGGCCCTTGGTCTCCGTCTCCTCCCCAGAGTGGGCTGCTCTCCCTGACAGTTGATGGATGGACCAGGGATCCCAGGCACCTGCTAAGCTCTCTCTCAATAGAGAAACTGAGTCACAGCAAAGAGCCTAACAGCCGCCATCTACCACATAGAGGTCAACAGCTCCACATTCAATGGCTGTTGACACTTCCTAGTAAGTGTCAGACTACTTAAGCCTCTTTAAGAACAGACCCTGGCAGGGCATGGTGTACACCTGTAATCCCAGCTCTCTGGAAGGCTGAGGCAAGAGGGTCACAAGTGTGAGTCCCACTCGGGCAACTAAATGAGACTCTGGCTCAAAATTTTAAGAAAGGGGTGGGGAGGTAGCTCAGTGTGAAGGTCTTGGGTTCAGTCCCCAGTATCACAAAACAAAAACAGCCTTGGTGACTCACCTCAAACACCCCCGGCTCACTCAGGCATTTGGGCAGCCCTGGTGGGAGCAGAGTTCTCCTTCCCCTCCCTCACAGAGCAGCCGCTCCACACCCAAGCTCCACTGCCCTAGAGGCAGAGTCATCCGCATGCATGGAGGTGGAGACATGGAGGTGGGGACAGCCGAGCAGAAGAACTCTAAGGAGTTGGGGCCCACAAGAGGAGTGGGGCCAGAAGAGAAGGGACTGTGCAGCCATGTCTAACCTGCAGCCATGGTTGGACATGCCTGCGCTATAATACAAATATTGTAGGAAGAAGCTTTGTTGCTTACATACACTATTTTATATATTGTATATGCAGCTCAAGACAACTGCTCTTCTCTCATCCCAGCCCAGACAGCCCAGACAGTCCAGGCATGTCCTACCCACTAGCACAGGAGGGAAACTTCTGAGGCCTTTGCCACCCCGGGCTCTGGGCAGAGCAGCCTGGGCATCACCTGGCCGATCCTTGGAAGGTAGCTTCGCCAGTCCCACCCAGGCCGACTGGCCAGTGCTGCGTGTCTCTGGCCCGAAAGTTGGAGAAGCGCTGAATCTGCAGGATTCCGTGATCACTTAGATCAGAGGTGACAGCCCACGAGGCTGCTGGGACTAACCAACGCCACCATGAAGAGCTTCACCGTGCAGAGAGAGTTCTCACAGCAGCCCTGGGACATGGGCCTTATCAGCCCCATTTTACAGAGGAAGGAATGAGGCTCAAAGAGGTGAGACATCTAAGCCAAGGTCAAAAATGAAAGGAGCTGAGACTTTATCCTTGAGGCAAGAGTCCCAGCTGCTTTGCTTTGGGGGCTGCAGGGTGCAAAGCAGGCTTCTCGAAGAGCACATCCCAGTGTAGTGCTGGGCTGGGAATCTGGAGCAATCTGGGCTAAGGCTTCTTGGGGCCTCCCCCAGGGCTGGAAGGGACAGGAAGGGCAGGCACAGCTGCAAGGTGCTCCCAGGAAACAGCTGGACATGAAACCCTAGCCTCAGAGGCTTTGTCCAGGCCTGCCCTGCAGCTAAGAGCTCCCTTGATCAAGCAGAGCCCTGTGGACCTGGGCCGGGCTGACTCAGCAGCAGGGAGGGGCAGGCACAGCACTTTGGATGTGGAGAGAATGCTCTTTGGAGGCAGAGTCTCGAGCCCCAGGGAAGCTTGTCTCCAAGACCTCTCTCCAGAAATGCAATTTCCACCTTTTCTCTGTATCCAATGTCAATGTCACTCCTCTATGAAGGCTGCTCAATCGCCCCAAGCAAATTCAAAGGGTCTCAGTTCTGTGCTGCCACAAAATGGGACACATTCAACTCTGCAGACATCTGCTGGGCATCTATTACATGCTCGGTAACCATGTAAAATGTTTTTCCATAGCCTCATTTTATCCTTAGCCCATGGGAAAGACAGTGCCGGTGCAGTCATGACATAGCCAGGGGCCACCACAGAGATGGGGAACAGGTAGACTCCTGGGCCCTTACCTGTTGCCCACTAACACTATCATTTCTGTTTTCTTCTAGGACAGTCAGGAACTTAGAAGCCATTTTTGTTATGGTCTGCAGATGCCAAATAGGTAACAGAAAGCAGAACAAGCTTGACCTTCATTTTGTGTCTTTTGTTACTGTAAATCTTGAGTCAGATCTCTCTGGGCTCTGCAAAGGGGTATGGAGATCTTTGGGGGAGTGTCTGACTAGGAGCGGAGCAGACAGGGTTCATCACCCCTGAATTCACAGGATCTCATCCCCTTCCTGACTGAGGACACCAAAAGAAGAGGTTTAAAGGGTCTTCAGCGGCACCCAAAGGCCTGCAGCTGTTGTCCTGAACCTGTGATCACCAGGGTTCTAGGGAAGGTAAAGCCCACCTGACTGAAATGGCCACAGGCAGGAACAGTCCTTCCCTGGGAGATTCGAGAACTATGACCCCAGGACTGAGGAAAGGGTCAGCCAGGCCCCAGCCCACCAGGTAACCTTTGAGAGCTGCCTTCCTGCCTCTGTGGGTGGGTCAGTCCGAACCCCTGCATCAGAGTGTATCCCTGTATCCTTCCCTATCTTCCCTCTCACTTGCCAATTCAATATCTGTTTTCTGTAAATTTGTGTTTCATTTTAATTTCCAATTCTATTCAAGCAATGACCCACAATAGCCAGTGACATTCCACTTGCTATAAAAACAGAGACTAGTGGCTCATAGAGCTGGGTTTTAACTACAGATCAGTTACTTCTTAAGCATGCAAGAGCAGCATCCTTCAGAAGTTTAGGTCTCACCAGATTACTTGATAATTATTTAGTTGCAAGGATGGCTTTTCCACTGGACTGTACACCTACATGAGTTCCAGGGTATCTTTACTCTCTCTCTCTCTGGAAGCCCAGTGCACAATGCCGAGAATGTAATATATGCTGAATAGGCTACACTGAACGGTTCAACAGGCATTTACCAAAATAATGTGTGCCAGATCCTATAAAAAGCACACAGACTACAAAGATAAAAATGTGCCCCCCACCCCCGAAAAACCTCTTGCATTAGGCATACGGACATTGCACTACAGTCAGCACTTGTAACAGTGGAAGAATGCACAAAATATGGAGGAAGAATGCACAAAGTGTGGAGGAAGCGTGGGGAAGGGGCTTCCAGGGAGGAAGAGTGACAGGGGAGGTGACCACTGCAGCAGATGCAAAGCCTGAGCGAGACTGGATGCAGGAGAACTCTGCCCTGGGGACAAGAACAGGATGCTTCAGGCTGGGAAGAATAGGCTGGAACACAAAGGTCTGAGAGAGCCTGGTTTTGCTAAAGCTACAGGGTAAATAAACAGCACTCAGGAGGATACAGGTTTCCTAAAGGGTCCCCCATAAATCAAACAACTTCCACCCCCAAACTGCAGGCCTCCTACCTTGAGCCCACCCCAGTCCATGACCATTGGAAAACACCTGCAGGACAAGAAGGAGGGGTGCCCAGCTGGGCGTGCGCAGTGCCTTTTCCCAAGTCACCAATCAAAGGGCCCTCTTTCAACCCCAAGAGAACAGAGAGGAGCTATGGGAAGCTCTAAGTGTTTTTTCAGAAATCATTCCCCTGGGAAGTCGAAAATCCCTTCCAATCTGTAGAAACAGAAGACATTGGGGAAAAGTGTCCCCTACCACCCTAGCAGGGTGCAGGACCCATTAGCAGTGCAGAATGAATGGCTGGCACTGGGCTGGGAAGAGCTCAGTGGTACAGCACTTGCCTAGAATGTGAGAGGTCCTGGTTGCATCCCCAGCCCCATGAAAAAACCAAGCAGAAGCGCTGGTGTCAGAGGGCGATAGGCTAGGCAGGCAGCCTGGACCACGCCAACTTGGAGCTGATCCGCTGCGTCATCTCCCAAAGGTGATGTGGGCCACTGAAGAATGGTTGTTATGAATCCCCTGGCATTTTGGAAACTAGCCTGCTTAGAGTTAAGGAGCAGGAGATGACAGCACTGGCAAGGTCACTCCGAGATCTAAGTCAAGACACCCAGGAGGTGTGGTTGTCGGAAAGAATGCTGGTCTAGAAGGAGGGACTGGAAGGCAGACAACTGTAAGAAGGTACATTTCCCAGGCAACGGGAATCTGGAGTAAAAATAGCATGAGTCACCCAGGACAGACTTTCTGTGCCTCCACTTCCTCCCACTCTTAGGGAACTCCAGCCCCTCTCAAACACATTGCAGGGAATCCTGAAGAACCTTGGTACAGTGTCTCTGTGTCTTGGGGAAAGGTTGTCAATGAACTTCCTTCTTGAACGTGACTTCTGCTGCCACATGGTATCTATGGTTTCTCCCTTCGCTGCTCCTGCTCAGTGAAGTCTTGGACCACTTGGGGCTTAAAGCATGCCTGAGTCCTGGCGCTCACCCCCAGAGCCAGCCCTTCGGTCCTGACCCAGTGGGACCAGTGTGCACCATCAGGACGATTGTGTCTGTGGTGAAAAGAACAAATGCCCAACAAGCAGGTGAAATACAGCCACGATCAGAAGTGGCTTCTCTGGAAACCAGTGGGCTCTAACCTCACTCCAGTCACATAGCAGCCAAGCCCCATCTAGGTCCTGATTTGGCTCCAGGTCAAGGCTGCCTAACTTCGCCTCCACCACCACCACCACTACCACTGCTATGGTTTGAACATCCCTCCGAAACTCACGATGAAATGTAACTGCCACCCCACAGTGTTGAGGTAGGAATTTGAAGGGGTGACTAAAATGGATTAAATTAATGCCATTATCATGAGAGCAGATCAGGTCCCCACCCCCACCCCCGGTCTCTCAACTGGGTCTCACTATGTAGATCAGGCTGGCCTTGAACTCACTATGTAGTCCAGTTGGCCTTGAACTCACAATGATTCTCCTGCCTTATCCTCCCAAGTGCTGGGATTACAGACGTGCCAGGCTCTCAGCCTCTCTTGACCTTCCAGCTTCCACTCTGCAATGACAAAGCATGGAGGCCCATGCCAGATACCAGCGCCATACTCTTGGACTTCCCAGCCTCCAGAACTGAGAGCCAAATAAATCTCTGTTCTCTATAAATAACCCAGTGTCCATTTTTGTTTGTTTGTTTGTTTGTTTGTTTTCCATTCTGGGGATTGAACCCAGGGCCTTCACACTGAACAACATCCCCAGCCCTTTTTAACTTTTATTTTGAGACAGGGTCTCACAAAGTCAATAAGTTGCCCAGGCTGGGCTCAAACTTGGAGTCCTCCTGCCTCAGCCTCCCAGAGTGCTGCAGTTACAGGCATGCACCACCACACCTGGCTCTCAAGTATTCTTTCATAGCAGCAGAAAATGAGGTCAGACAACCGAACCACTGTGACTGTCATCACCAATAATAACACCATCACCAGAAATGTCCCCAGCATCTCCGCACCTGGAGATCCAGGCCCCGCTGACACCCGGCCCTGTCTAAGCCTGCCAGTCTTCCTACCCCAGGACGAACATCTTTCAACAATGACTGACACTGAGAACATCAATTTGCTTCAGGGAAAAAGATTCCCTAACCCCACCGACACCGCAATCTGAAGGCATGGCCCAAACAAAGCATGGATTCTTCAGTCTTACACAGCATTGTCGGTGCATCCACCATTAGCAGTTCTATGGCACTTGTGGTACTGTGACATGTCACCTTGACTTGGGTAAGAACCATCTAGCAGCTGAGTAGAGTTCTGGGTGTGTCTGTGGGTGATGGACATGTGGGCCAGCAAACTGACGGGGGAGACCACCCTGGACGTGAGTGGCACCAACCAATAGGCGTGTAGTTTGGACAGAATAAAAAGGGAAAGAAGGAAGAACTATTGCCCCATTTGTTCAGAGGAGCTCTCATCCTCACCATTGCCTTTGGATGTTGGTCTCCAGCAGAGACTCTTCGACCTTCGGACAGACTCACACAGCTGACTACAGTGGGTCCCCAGGTCTTCAAGCTTTAACTACTATTAGATCCCCTAGCTCTCCAGCACAGATGGCCTTGTTGGGTTCCTCTGCCTCTGATTCCACAGGTGGTCACTAGGGACTCCTCCCCTTCTGATCCTGTAAGCCTGCTGAATAAACCCCTTCCTCTAGTGAACCTGACTAATACAGTGCTACACTGAAAAGGTAGCAGATCCTAACCCCATCTCATCAGCTCCGTTGTCCCCAGCTCAGGCCCACCACCATTGTCTCTTGCCTACATTATTGCAATAGATTTTCCCATTTTTGACCTTCAGCCTGCCCCAAATACTCCCTAACTTTCCCACCTCAGAGTTCAACCCAAGTTCTTACAAAGCTTTAACACCTCCCCTCCTGGACACACACACCCACCGTGGCATCTCTGATCTCATCATGCTGTTTCTTTCTGTCCTCATGCAAAGGAACTTTGGTGCCCTCTCGGAACTGGTAAAAGAACAAACTTTCAACAGACTTCATTTAAAGACCTAAACTGGATTTTATTGGTGGGTCACAAATCAGGCAGCATCCTATCTAAAGATCTAGAAAGTGCGCTCAGAGAGCCCAGCAGGCAAGGTGTACTTTTTGACAGAAGAGACCAAGCAGAAACAGGGAACAAAAAGCTGACTGCTCATTTCCAAGTTACTTTCTTTATAGGGTTAAAACAGAGGCTATGCCCTTGTTATCCCAGATAAGATTAACTGGGCCCCTTTTGTTTGGGTTGCTATGAATCTCTTGGGGTTGTTTTTTTGTTTTGAAAAAATAACCTGTTCAAAGTTTGGTCAGATCATATTGCACACAACACCAGTGACTCCATTTTTTTGTCTGGTCCGTTGGACCCAGGGCAGGAGCTCAGTCCAAAGCAATGGCTTCCCACAGATTTTACTTAATAGGCCCTTTGTACTTGCCATATCTCAAGTGTACCTACACGCCAGCCCATCAGCCCTTTCCCAAATGTCATCATCTCAGTGATTTCTTTATCGCTAAGGTCAACACCTACTCACCCATGCACACATACACACTTTCTATCCCTTCGCCCTGATTTATTTTTCTCCTCTGCAGTTCTCACAGTGTGTCTTATTTATCTCCTTTTTTGTCTGTCTCCAGGAATACCTGAGTTTGTCAGTTTTGTTCCCTACCATATCCCAGAAGAGTGTTCATTCATGCTCATTGAGTTAAATCTATTGATTGCTTGTGATGGCCTATTTCTTTCCCAGGAGACACCTGGTTACCTCACAAAGAGAACTGGGCAAGTCTGTCCACCAGGCCCCCAGATGTGCCCAAAGGTGCCTGAGGACTGGGTGGCTTCTGTCACACCAGAAAGCCCTGCTGTGAGGTGGGTAGGGGTTGAAATCTGGCTGGGAAAGGTCACTGTGGGCATTAGGGCCTTAAAAAGAGAAGAGCCATGGGGAAAGTGAATGCTGGGAGAACACAGCATTCCCAAGACACCAGAGGAAGAGGGGCTGAGGAAGGAGACAGAGAAAGATGACCAGAGAAAGATGACCAAAGAAAGAGTAGAACAAGAAAAACTCAGAGACAGGGACTTTGATGGAGGGGAGTGCCTTAGAGTGTCTTCTGCTCCAGGAGACTCCATATTGGTAGGAGCATGGGCTCAGCGTCCAGGAAAAAGCCAGAAGCCCAATGGGATGTAAATAAATGGAATGCAGATGACTTGCTCACCAAACTTGTTTTAAAAGGAGCAATTAGGCAAATAGGAGCAGGATACATGGAGGACTTTTTAAAGTTGGAAGAGGTCCTCTTATTTCTACCCAACAAGGAAGAGGCCGATGAGTAAGAAGAGGTTGAAGATATAGGGAAGGGAGGAGAGACTCTAAGGAGTATTCTCCCGAGGAGGCAGGAGGATTAGAAGGGCCAGTGTGTGGTCAGTTCAGTCTTAGCTCAGTGAGGAAATGGCTGTTCCTTGGAGGAGGGGACAGAGGGGAGTGGACAGGACAGAGAAGGTTGCAGGGGGAGGCAAGAAGTGGAGGAAGCTGGGTCATTACTGGGAGACAAGAAGGGCTTGAAGAAAGCATTGGGATTTGAAATTTCGGAGGGAAATTGGAGGAGGAGCTGACAAAGGCTGTGTGAGAGGTTTTGGCTATGACAACTGTGCAGTTGTGCGACCTGTACAGTGGGTAGGGTGGGAAAACCAGGAGACCCTAGCACAAGGTCAGGAGCCCAGCAGAGAACAGGGAAGTAAATTGGGGGTGGGCTCTTTACTTGGTAAGTGGAGAGAAGGCAAAGAACTCAAGGGACTTGAGAGAGCCTGGAATAGATTTCATGAGAGGCCATGGGACTGTGCCCCAATATTTCTGGAGACCTTCTTGTCTCCTTCCCTCTACCACCTACCTAGAGCTCTGGTGTTGTTATGGCTTGTATCTAGAGGTCTCCCCAAAGCCTCGTGCGGTCATAGGTGGGGAGTTTAGAAGGTGGCTGGTTAGGGTGTGTGAGTGTGGATTAAGGATGTGATGCTGGGTGTGGGTAGCACCAATTAATAGGTTTACAGCCTGGATAGAATATAGAGGGAGAGAAGGAAGGTTGCTTCAGCTGCTGATGCTTGCTGCTTTTTGCCTGCCCTGCCATGGACTATTTCTCCTCTGCCATGCCACCCTGCCTTGGACC